AAAAGAGTATAGGTGGATTTTAGTAGGATTTATATTTTCAAATTAAGGCCCCTAAATTTCAGCATCATCCGATTTCATAATCAAAACAAACAACTCAAAAAAGACAATAAAAAATTGCAACAATCTAAAAACCGTATGACCCATAAAGTTCGGCAACTTAATGGTTCTATTGTACAGTTCAAGCGTAAGCATCATCATCATATATCTTGAATTCGTGCAGTAGCCAAACGCCCTCCAGAATTAAAAGACAACGATTTGAAAACCATAATTAGAAATTTAATTAAACAAAACAAAAAAGAATATAATACAGATTTTATTAAGCTTACCATACAAGTTTCTCAAATCGGCCAAATGTCCTTTAACACTGCAGCAGAAAGTATAAAGACGGTTTTTAATTTTTTAACTAGGGATAATATATAGTCTTGGCTTTGTGTAGATACTATCAGCCGTTGGCATTGTGAAGTATCAGAATTGCATGTAAGGAATATATTTCAACAAGCTAATCGGTCAGTCCATTTTGCATTTGGAGTCATGGCAAATGAATCGGGTCGAGGTGAAAAAAAGATATTAGTAGAATGCTTTATGTTTTGGAATTCAGAAAAAAATATGTCAGATGTCGTACTTCTAGAAACAAAAGATCTTAGACAGTGTAATTCTGATACAGTTAGCTGTGCTCTTTTTGAGTCTTGTACAAAATACAAACTTGATACTACGCGATGCCTTACCTTTCTTTCTGATAATATGAATTATATGAGTGGTCATGTCAGAGGTGCTGTAGACAAATTTAGTCAATTAGCCAAAAGTAATTGCACACGAATTCCCTATAGATTACATGCATTACATCTAATTTTAAATAATTTTGAAGAAAAAGCCTTTGGTAAGCTTCCAACAAGTACCAGATTTTCAAAAACACACCATCCATTTAATCTTTTTTATCTGGCATGGATGTTGCATAACGGATATGACCAAAGTGATAAGGATTCGCCACTAAATATAAGAAGTGAAACAATTCAAAACCTTTATAAGGCACGGCTTAATTATAAGTTAACGAAATATCAATATCCTCTACGGTCAAGGTGGCAATATGAATTAATTACTGCAGAACAATACCTTGAGAGATATAAAGTTCATGTCAAATTTGTTTTGTGGTTTCTTCCGAAACTCAAAACTTTAAAAAAGATTCCAAAATCCTATATTGAAAAATGGGAACTATTTCAAGTTTGGTTAAATGATTTTGAACTAAACATTGAAGTTCAATGTTTAGTTAAATTCGGTCAAGAATTTTACCGTCTATTTGCAGAATTTCTCGTCGGTTATGATCTCCAATTAAGAATTGTATAGCCTGATAATTCGTTACAATGCTTGCCCACAGGTCATCGCACACATCAAATGCCAGATTTTGTTCTTAGTTCAACACATAAACTTACACATTTCTTGAAAAATCTTTATTTATTTTTTGGTAAAGAACTTTTACAAAGTACAGAAATTATAGACGATTCAGGTGTTGAATTATTAGTCTAAAAGTTAGAAAAAGGAATACAAAAAGGACTTGAATTACATCAAAAATAGCTAGATTGTTGGCTTCATCTTCCTTTAAGTATGTGTCGACTTGGTGGAAATAATATCTAGCAATTTGCACGTAGTTATTGGCATGTCATACTCAAAAAACCTTGGCCAACATTTCCTAGCTTAAAAGAACTTTGTTATGCACAATTTTTAGAAACAGATATTGTGCAAAAAAGATTCGACGATTTTGGTCTTAGAAATGCACTCACTGACAAATTGTTTTTTTAAGAATTTAACATATTTATTAAAGAACCGAATGCCCTTCTTCATCAATATCTGTTGCTCTATGATTTTGTTAAAAACAAAATATGGTACATTATTGTACATCAACAACAGATTGAAGGTCTCTTTAACAAGTAGGATTTAAAAACTCACCCAAATATGTCCAATAATATACAACAATCCAGAATGCACCTTTTAGCAACTGGAACAAAAGAATATCAAATTACTAATAAACAACCGAAAGATATTTGAAATGAAAATAGGATCGCTTATCAACAAGATTCTACCAAATTTGTTCTCCAATCAGATCAGCAATTAGAACAGAATGCGGATAATCTTTTTAAAGAATTATTTATCTGCCGTTAAAGTTCTATAAAGTTAAAAGTTATTAGTTTTTAATAATTGCAAGTTAAAAAATAAAAAAAAATAAAAAAATAAAAAAAATAATTCGCAAGTTCATAATACTTATTGTAAATGATATCATAAATTATCATTATCATTATCGTAATTTTTTTTTGTTACACACAGATCTACAGATCTTAAAATTCTATTGGCTAAATATGATATATTGTTTGTTATGATAAAAAATCTGTACTATGAATTTTTACTATTATACCTCATATAGGTTTGATTAATTAGTATATCGAAAGCTCCAATAGTTTATATATACATTGTGCGCATTCAGGTTTCGGTCTAGAGTTGGCCCCCACAAATAAATTCAAAACATATATAGTATGAATTAATTGACCGACATTGGTTAGGTACTAATTTCAGCCGGGGTGCTCTGGTCGAAAAATAAAAATTGACACTTTGAGATTGTGCCCCATCTCGCAAATAAGTTATGCATAACGAAGGTGATACAGATAAATTTATATGTATAAATTTATTCTAGCACGTTATCGCATTCACACCACTTATATATTCCATTCGCTACTTTTTTGCATGTTTTGCAATATAGGTGAGAATGGTGATTGCATTCGTCACAAACTTTACATCCATGCTTCCATTCTCTAAAGATATACCACTTTTCGATATAATTTTGTTTATCTTTACGTATGAATATGTTATTCAGATATTTTTTCATTGTTATACATTAACAGAAAAAATATAATGTGGTCAATAATATGTGGCAATTACGCCCTCACCTACAAATAAATTCAGAACATATCGATATGTGACATGAGTTAATTGACCGACTTTGGTTTAAGTACTAATTCCAGAAAAATGAAAAATAGCAATTTCTACTTGTGATCTATCTCACAAATAAGTTATGCATAACGATAAGCCTTGCAATGTAATACAGATAAATTTTATATGTATGCGAAATAATTCTAACAAACACATGTCACTAAGCCCGATGTGGGCAGGTTTAAATATTTATTCAATGATCAGTCCACTTTGTGCAGTAATGCGATATAGTGTTTATTTTTTCTAGTTGCCGAGGCAGGACACCATGTCACCAGGATGCAGTAATATAGTGCAGTAATATGTCATTTCTCTGAAATACTTCTATGTTGATTCTACCCATAATAATTTTCTGAATTAAAGATTACTTAGTTCTAATTGGCTTATTTCTACAATGTTTTCGGCTAGAAGAGATAACCTTTTTCTTTGTAATATGGATGCGTTTCTTTCAGAGTTTTTTTTAGATCAAGATCGTACCAGTCTGAACCTGTAGATTCTGAATCAGAACTAGATACATTAATCTCTATAGATAATTTCTTAAACATATCTATAAACTTTTCTAAATTTAGATCAGGTTTATCGATTTCTGTTTCAGAATGAGATAAGTTATTTTTACTAGAACTAGCTTTATTACTATTTTCTTCAATTAATACGATACTCATACCATTGATTACAATTTTAGCATGGCAGACACAGGTTTTGAGAGAATATCCAAAGCTTATTTTTGCTTCACGCATCCATAACCAATCTCTCCCTAATACCAAATCAAATGATGGATTTTTGCGAATTTGAAAGTCTATTACTTCGGTACTATCTAAACTTCACCACTTTCCTTTATAGCAAAATTGCAAATCTAAATATTTTATTTTACCTATTACATCCCTATAGAGATTCTCAACAGGATCACTTATTCCATAATCTTTTTTAAGCTTATTGAACAAGCTCTCACTAATGGTATTAAACTTCGACGATGTATCAATTAATGCTTTTACTGGGATTTTCCCTTCTATGAGTGTATTGATAAATATATTAAATATGTTTAATGATGTATATTATAACCGAAAAATAATTATAATTTATTCTGAATTTTATCATGTATTAATATAATAAATAATAGCGAAGCTAGTACCAAGGTACATATTACTACATGATATTGACAATGAATAAAGCTACATTAGAAAATAATCATAAATCTTGAAATGGTAATAGTGTGATATCTCGCATTATTAAACATGTGTCAAATAAAAAAATTCAGATCTCTCTCTGTCAATTACTAAAAATAGTAAAACTCGAGATTTAGCAGTATATTATAAACTCGATAGCAAACCCAGATATTTCTCGAAGAAATCGTACACCATGTGAGATTAAAAGAAAATACAATGCTAGAAAAAAACTAATTTTTAATAATATCGCATCTGAGTCCTCATCTGAATCTTTATCTTTATCTGAGTCTGGGTCCAACTCTGAATGGGATAAAAGCAATTAGTAATTATATAGATCAATGATATCCTCGACCTTACTATTTTCTTGTTTAGGTGCTGGGGTATTTGGTCTGTTATTCATTACACCATAATGTTCAACTGATAAAGTATGACCTATTTTATGTCTACATGCCAATTGCTATAAATATTGATGGCGAGAATCATTCTTACCTCCATGTACTCTGGAAGCATGATTGGTACCTATTTTTCTTAATATATATGAGGTAATTCTATGGCGACTTAAAAATTGATTAAGAGGTGCAATATTAGTATTCCCATCCTTATCTTTTAACAAGAAGGGAAATTTATCTGGTATTGATCTCTGAATCCAGATAAGTAATTCTCTTGCTCATATTAGATTTTTTTCCATTGAAAGGAATGGCCAGGGTTCTTCTATCTCACTTTTATTTTTTGCATAACCAATACAGTACTAAGAATAGTCAGGATTATACTATGATTTACGACTTGGTTTGTATCGGTTGATACGAAGATTTTTCACATCTGCTGATCACATATATAGCATTATCATTACGTCTATTAGATTTTGCATTGAAAGAGGCATAGTAGTATCATATTCACTAAGTCTTTCCTAAACATTTTTCAGGTAAAAGAACTCAGGACAATCATAACCATTAATTCTACGAAGTATATGCTTTCTTGCTTGAATCTGATTTGCTTCTTCAGTAATAAAAGGTATTTTTGTTGCCTCAATAATGAGATAATCAGCTCCTAAGCTATGCAATTTTTTCTATAATAAATTAAGATAAGAATTTCCTGCAACAGTAGTAGGAGCAGAAGAAGCCAAGTCATATGCTATTCCATTTATTTCTTCAAGTGAGAGATTATTTTTTATAATATCTTGGGCAATAATTTTAATGGGATCTCTTTCATCAACATGTCTCCCAGGAGCTCGAATAGGAATAAGAGTATCAGCTTGCTCTTTACTTAATCCCAATTCTTGAAAGCATCTTTTGGCCTGATCTCTGGCTTTTCAGGTCTGCTCTTTTGTCTTGTTATTTGAAAATTTACTAGCCAACTCTTTGACATAACTACTAAGCTGTGGTAAACTAGTTTGTAGAGTCAATTTGTAGTGTTTTACAAATAATGTAGCGATTTTTGCTATAGTTAATATATGTTGGTTGAGATGTTTTATATAGACTACTTTCGTCTGATATATACTATAGAGATTCTTTTTTTAAATCGAAATTAATTACACTTTTTTCTTTCTATACCTAGAAAAAAAGAGTTTATGTATACCTATAGGGTTACCGGATGTTGAGCTATATGATTATACTTCATGTATAGAATCAGGTAAGTCAGATATATGATTCTCAAGCATAACAATTTTTGCATATAATTCAGCCTGTTTTTTTTGATAATAATATTCTCTTTTTCGATATTTACTCATATGATTCGAGCATACACCATATGTAGAATATGTTAATTTACCACATTCTTTGCAAGAAATCCAAGTTGGCGAATTCCAATGAAGTTTACACCCTTTTGGATGATAGCAACCTCGATTGCAAACTTTGCCAGTTCTAAGAATATAAGGGCAATGATAGAGTTCTATATTTATTATAATAATAATTGTATAGAATAATTAATTTCATTTTAAAGTTTTTTGGATTAAGTATAATATTTTTAGTTTATAACTATATACTACATATACAAACAATACATATATACAAATCAATAAAATGAGTTTGTCTAGTAAAGCAAAAAAACGTCTTTATGAATCATTATAGCAACAGTGCTTAAATCAAAAGTCAGCCGAATATAATAAAGCAAAACAGCTTTTTATAGGGTTAACAGATCTTGATTATAAACCTGCCCATAGAGAACATATATTTTATAAATACTAGCTTGCATCCAGGCCTGAAGGGCAACCCTAAAAGGTCATGGCCATACTGATAAAAATGATACTGCACTTTTAGATGCGTATTAACCTGAAGAAATTTTTGATGAATATATAATTCAAATAGCAGGGCAGGGTTTTACAGTTATCGATCACTCATCCAAAGTTTATGGATTACCCGATGCTTACGAGTGCATTGATGGGAATCTGCCTTTTCGTCTGGTTTTGGATATTGATGTGAAACAAAAGCTCGATCCCATGAATCCTGAACTTTCTTCCTTAGATGGAAGTAAAATTTCTCGTGAAGATTTATTATCTAGAATCTTAATTGCCTGCGCTGATATTGTATACTCAGATTTAAAACATCTTATAACTCTAAATGCTTTTGTCTTAGCTAGTTCGTCTAATGCTAGTAAGTGCAGTTAGCATATTGTATATAATTATACACATTTTGTTGACTACAGAGACCTTAGAGAATTTGTAGAAAAAGTCACTGATAGGGTTGGAAAGCCATATTCAGAGTTTATTGATATTGGTCTCTATAATCTTATTTTAGTCTACGGCTTCTTGGATCGGCAAAGGAAAACAGAGTTAAATAACCTGCAGTTTCTTCAGTTAAGAAAGGGTATCGAGAGCTAGAGGATTATTTAGTTCAATCTAAATCTGATTGTTTTGAAATCTGGCCTCAAACCTTTTCAGAAGAAAAGCTGGCAAAAGAGGAATTTAAACCTATTGAGGATGATAATGTTTTGGTTAAAGGAGCTAATTTAGTTATTGCAAAATATAGGTAGCTCCAGATTAGAAGAATCGAGAAGAGATTTATAAACTTTCAAGCACAATCCATTAAAGAATACCCTATATGTGACGTTAAACATGAAAAAGACCAACTCTATAGATTTATTCGTCAAAATAGGCGTTTTATACTTAAGTGTTATCATCAAAAACAATATAAGCCAGAACATAAGGGCCTTAGCTTCGATAATGTATCAGATAAAGTCGAATCAGAAGTAAAACTCAAGAAGTAGTAATTAATTGAAAGATTGTCCAAGGCTGTAAAACATCCACGCCCACTTATAGAATTATCTGGAAATAATATTAATGTTAAAGAAATGGAGAACGCCCCAGAAGCTTATCCAGATTTCATGAGTGAGAAATCTACTACAACCCTAATTCGCTCACTCATTGCCAGCAGAAAAACAAAAACCTTAAGAGAGATTCTTAATTCTTTAGCTAAAAGTGAAGCAAATTTACCTTGTTTTAACTGGGTTTCATATTGTAAAACTTTTAGTAATGAAACTAAAAGTAAAATCGAAGTATTACAGAAATTTGGGCTTCATATGTGCCATTATTAGGAAAATAAAGGTAATTTAGCTATACATGACTGGGATGTTATTATTGTTCAGGTCGAAAGTACACATCATCTTAATTTCCATAAAGATCGTTCTTATGTAGTTATTTTAGATAAAACGAATAGTATTATATGTCAAATGGCAAGTGGAATCCATGTACGAGAATCTGAAAATACCATATAGGATTTGTTAAAGTTAGCTGTTCAAGTGGTTGCTATAGATGCTTTTGCAAATGAGTCAACTTTAGCTTTCTTAAGACAATACTGGGGTAAAAACATCCAAGTTTTTGATAATAAGTATCAGCCACGTAAAAGTGAGACTGTAAAAATCTTTTATGATTCAAATAAAGATTTAGATGCTATACGTAAAGGTCTTGAAATGCTTAAAGAAGATAAGCGTGTTGTCTTTTCAATAATCTCCTGCAAAAAGACTCGGGCAATAGCTAATCAAGCATCTAAGTTGCAAAAACCGGATAGTTCATGTATTTTATCATGAGTTTATTTTAGTCAAATAGATGAAAAACAATGCCAGAATGCTTTGCCGATATTAATGCTACCTGGAGTGGCCTTGATTGTATAATCTATACAAATACTGTGAAGTCAGGTATCTCGTTCGAAATTTCTAACTATTTTAATGCAGTTATAGCAATTAGTAATATTAATACAGGAGTACATGCTGAAGCATTTACTCAGATGCTTTATTGAACTCATGATTGCCTGTATCGTATTGTTTCTCTTTACAATAGTAAACATATTCTGAGATTTTTAAAGAACCAAATCGTGACCTTATTCGTGCAGAACTTTCGGCCTTAAAACCTGGAGAATTATCAACTGCAATAAAGGGGTGCTGTGAATAGAACAAAATCGCTAACTGTTATATACTCGATTCATCTCCAGCAGTAGAAATCTATATTGAGGTTGAATATCAGAGACGCTTATCTGCTAAATATTTTTTGGAAATTCTTTGTAGTTTGATTGCTAGTACTGGAGTATCGCTAGAATTAATCGCAGTAGAAGATACCAAATTAGCCAAAGCTTCTCGTACAGAAGTATTTAATACTATTAAGAATATTAAAGAAAGGATTAAAAGTTCTGATGCAGAATTAATAGTCAATGCTCCAGATATCAATTCTAATGAAGCTAAAATGCTTAAGCTAAATCTTGAATGTTCTTTTGCAGATAACATAACCCTGCAATAACATTATTTATGGAGAACATATGCTTTAGGCGATATTGGAGGTAAGGATGATATTTGAAACTGGGTATAAATAATAATGATTGGATCAAACTTTGTGATAAAAAATTTGTGAAATGATATAATAATTCTGAACCTTTACAATATTTTAGAAGGCTGGCATATTTCAGAAGACAAGATTCTAATGCAATAAATTCTATAAAAAAACTAAAAATCAAAGAAGAAATGCAATGAGATGATTCACACGAATCTGTGGATCTATCATCATTTGATTTACATAAATTTTATTCAGCAAAACAATGAAGAGCAGTACACAATCTTTTACAATCGGTAGAATTCAGTAATATAGATGATACAAATATTCTTTCTGGTGATGATGTGGCAAAAGCTTTCAAACAATTACAGAAAAAAATTGTTAAAATTCGAGAAGACGCATTATTGCTTTTTGGTTTTAAAACCAGAGCTAAAGGAATACCAGATCTCAATAGCACAATAAAATTTATTAATTCAATACTAAGTAATTGGTGTGGTTATACTGTCAAGAGTAGAGAAACCCGTATAGGTTCAAGGGGG